ACGAACTTTAAGAAGCATTATATATATAGTCATAACTCATATTGAAACAACAAATCAATATGGAAGCATTGTTCTGAAAAAATGCAACTAGATCACAAAATCCATGAGAAGTGCAAGAACAAAAAATCTTCAAGAGAGTGAGAGAGTAATCTTCATGGGATCTGCTGCCATTCTCGAAAACATGAAATTGCAAGAGAGCAAGAGAATTGAAAGTTATACATTGAGGCACTTATTATTATTTTTGCACTCAAGAAGAGCGAGCGAAGATCCAAGTGTGACAATATTTGGGGGATTTATAAAAACGAGATGGGTAAGAATCCTCTCCGATTGTTGTTACTTTTCCAATTTCTTTTGAAATAATCATCCACCATCCAATTTGGTCAAGTGCATCCCCTAGCAGTAGGGATAGACGATTGGATTAGAAAGAGTTTAGTGTTGGATGAAGTCAAACTGGACCAAAAAGGTGTAAATTTACTCAGGACCTTTGAGAGGAAAAAAAAGAGTGAGTAAAGATCCAAGTGTGACGATCTTTGGGGGATTTATGAGGACGAGATGGGGTAAGACTCCTTTTCAATTTCTTTTAAAATTCCATTGTGTTTATTGAAGTATAAATACTTAAAGGTACATGCTCTCTACCAGCTTAAATTTTTAGAGAAGATAGTAGTTTAACAATGTTCAAGTAGATACCTTACCAATCCGTGATAGATGACTAGATTGAAAAGAATTTAGATTTGGAAGGAGCCCAACTCAATGAAAAGTGTAGATTTTCTCGGGATCCTATTTCTCCCCATTAGTTCAACTGAATATAAGGCTTGCTTTGTTGGCTATATAAAATTTTGGACTGTATCTTCATTTGTTAACTTTTACTGGTTCAATCTTGTGGACCTCTTGTTAATATTTCTGTTTGTATTAAAAAGTACTGTTTCGCTTAAAATATGTCATTCTCAGACAACAATCATTGATACTCTCAAGGATAAAAAATTCGTTTCGAGGTGAATTGGTTATTGAATACCGAACATCTTATGTTTCTATGTTTTAAGACGCTTCGGAATGCAACGAGGTATTTCTAAATGTTCCGCCCAACGTTTCAAAATTTTTATGATGAGGATCGGGTTGAAATAGGATAAATGATAAAAATTTATTTTGGTTTTAGTTATTTAAATATTATTTTGTTTTTATTGTTCAGTAGTAGAATTTGATTAGGAATCTTTGATTTTAGTGTTTTGCAGTTCCCTATATAAAGGGATGGATTTTATTTTTAGGTAGACTTGAATTATTGAATAATACTAAGAATTGTTTCGCCTGATTTCTATTTCTCATCTCGTTATTATGATTCTCATCTCCTTTCTTGTTCCCTTCTCATCCCTATATATCTTTTTATTGATCTACATCAAGTTTCATAGTTACTACAATCTACATGCGCCTAATGTTTTAGAATGTACCAAAACAAATTTCCAATTTTTTCACAACGAAATTTTGATCCTTGGGTACTCCCTCCCCCTTCATGGGCTTTCTATCTCTTTTCAAGTTCTTTAAAGGTCAAGTGCCCTAGCATTTGACTTTGTTGATTCTTAAAGAAAGGCACATAAAATTCAAGAAGAATTGACAACGGTCAAGTAAGTGCACCTAAAATTTTTTGCTTCCAACATTAAGCATTTCTTAAGTTTAAAGAAAGGCATACAACTCATTATTAGAATGATCTATGTTACTCAGGTGTGCACATAAAGTTATTCATATACATTTTTCTTTTGTGTGTGTGTGTGTGTATGATTTAATTTTGGATGCTAATTTGATGGCTTATACGAATGTAATGATTGTTTCATTAATAATTCAGGTGATAGGTAAAAGAAATTCAAATGGATGATACTATGAAGCAATTCCAAAAAAGCCTAATTGAAGTTGAAAACGAAGCTGAAAATCTCCTATTAGCTCGACACCAGGTAATTGATACCCTTGCTTCAGAAAAATGAATAATCTAGATTGATTTAGAAGTATTAATTATTTGTCATAATGTGATTGCAGTTGGTTGAAACTGATAGGCTGAGAAATGGGAACAGGGAAGCGTTGACTGCCCTAAGGAAGAGGGCTCGGACCACAAAAACTAGTGTTCCTTTGCCATTTGAGTCAATAATGAAGGAGATTGAGGGGCTTGGGTCAAGGCCTCTGGTGAAGGAGGTCTGTGCGACTTGTGGCAACCATGACTCCAAGGAGAACACATGGATGATGTTCCCTGGAACCGATGTCTTTGCTAGGATTCCATTTCATGCTGTTCATACCATTTTGGATAAAGGTTTTGGTTTCAACCCTCATCTTGTAACGTAATGTTTGAGTGTTTAACTATATAATTACAATGCCCCAAGGACTTAGTTTATATGCCCAACAAAAGCTATATATAAATGCTGCATATCTGTATTAAGGGTGTGTTAGATTTGTTTTCATATTTTTTCACAGGTCATTAGGTTACTCTATGTAGGTTAAATATTTTTAATAAAGGAAACAACCCTACAGATGTCACTGGAACTCTTTAGGTTGGCTGAACATATTAGCTTCCATTATCTTGGTCCATTCTTTAGATTATTGGAAGATAGTGGATGTCAATTAGGCGTTCAGTACTGTAGGAATGGAAATGAGAAACTTTTGGATGCAGTGATCACAACTTGGTTAGTATAAATTGCAGAATATGGAGGAGGAGGAAAAAAAGTATGCTTTACCCATGTAAGGATTTGGCAAAGCACACAAACACACTCTCAATTCTTGATGATGTAATACTTATCGAATCAAAAGACTACATGCATATTATAGGCTGCCTGGTTTTCCTAATTCTACTGGGAATAAAAGTACCAAATAGGAAACTTTCAATTATGACTCTGACTATGGTAAAAGTAAAACACGTACGACTACCAATATAACTCAGTAATATAGTTTGATCAATAATAGGTTCTGTAGTCATATTTTGCAAAGAAGAATACAGACTCCAGTCCATACAATAATACGACATGACATTGACACTTCGACGTGATAAACCTTATAGAAAGTAGGACTTGGACACAATGAGAACTTGTCAAGAGATAATGCTTTTTTCTGTATGCAATGTTCGAAGATTGTGGTGTGAGATCTTTAATTATGGTCATACCAGTCAACAATCAAACATGGTGTATGCACCAAGTATAGCAAGTGCACAAAATTATTTTGATTTCTATCATTTCTTATGTCACACCCTTCAATTAAATCTTCAAATCTTTTTTTTTTTACTTCATAGTCCAGTAAGTCATAACTCAAAGATGTAACTCTCTTGTAGTCCAATGTCGAAGAAGTATTGGATAAGTGTCCAAAGCTCGTTGTTTTGATATCGACACCACCAACGTGATGCTTGACATATGTCTAGGAGTGTTCAAAAAGTGTTAGTGGCCAATTTATGTTTAACATTGACATGTAGCTTCTTAAAAGTTCCTTGCTTATGGGAATTATGATGCTTTTACGTCATGTAAATGCTCTTTTATTCATGGCTCCAAGCTAAAGAGGATCCCATGATTAGAAATTTTGAAGGCACCCTCTTTGGACTGTGCTAATTTATATTTGTGTTGTATATTTCAAGTTGTTTTGTCATCTAAGAAGCAGTGTAGTGTGATTACAACACTGTCCTTCATTTTTTAACAATATGCTTGATAGGGCTAAATATGCGTTCATCTTTTGCTCTGTCCATGTTGAATATTTATTTTGTTTTGTTTTTCTGATCGGTCTATTGGACGTGATTTGCATATATCTGGCTCATGGTGTGATGCAGATCAAGCACAACTTGACTATGAATCTAAAAAACTACAGAGCTATGTGAAGGAGAAGTCCTTTTTTATCTCAGAAAAAGGTGTTCTTGCTGACAAGATCAGTCCAGGTGTTCTCAGATCTATGGTTACCCTAACAGATAAACCAAAGTAAGTTTTAGTTTTGCGTGTTGAAGAAATAGTTGAATAGATCACATCTCATTGAGAAAACTACTTTATCTCCTCAGTAGTAATATTTATGTTATTCCTGACTATGAATCAGCTTAGGGTTACTAGCATTAGTTACCGAGGGGAGAGACTAATCTATAGCACTTCTTTGTGCATAGAGTGCTGTGGACCCCCCCCCCCCCCCCCAAAAAAAAAAAAAAAAAAAAAAAAACAACAATAACGACAGTAAAAAACCTGCCCAACAACACCGAACAGTTTGGGCTTCATTTACAGTGTTAAGAATCCATCTAGTGATGGTGTGCTTTGCAGAAGCTGAAAATCACCTTCTGTTTGTCTATATTTTCAATTCACTTCTTTCTCCCCTCCATTGGATACGGTGGTACTGCAAAATTCCAAAAAATAAGATACGGGTACAGCTGAGATACGTCTATAAATATATATTTTATATTTTCACTATTATGTAATGACTTGATAACTATAATTTTTAGCTATTTTTTAACAATAATAAATAAAAATAAAATTTTTTTATTTTAAAAAAGTTACCTATCGTCTCACTATAGTACATCTACAAAGTGAACGTGATTAATTAAAGGAATAAGAACCAACATTTTAATTATATTGTTTTCTTAGAAGTGTTTGTTCTAAGATTATAGAGTGAGTAAACTCTTTGGACATGTGATAACAGATAATACTTGGAAAACACCCCATGTGTCTTCCAAGTCATATGAATTTTTGTTGATGTATTGTATTGTGGGTGAAATCAAAAGGAAGGGGTAAAGACTAAAACTAAAAATTACACATACTTCTCTCTATATATAAGTATCATCGAAGTATCCATATATTTTATTTATTATTGGATACATCTGGCGTGTATCTGATACGTATCATCGAGTATCCGACGAGTATCGTATCAGATACGGATACGTCAACCTTAACAAAGTATCTGTGCTTCATAGTTGCATGTTGCATGTGTATGAGTACACATGCTTAGAAAGAGGGGGAGGAGGGCTCAAAACATTTAGGACCGTTCTGCCCATCTATGGTTAGCATGCCATGCACTTCTCAACTCACATCGGAGAATTGTTTGAGCAAGCATGTCCACCTTCATGTCATCCAAAAGGTGAAAATGCGAATATTGTGCACGTGGGATCTATTATAAAGTTAGTTTCTCAGCGTTTCATTGTCGTGCAGCTCTCAATTCAGGCTATGGAATTAATATTATGGGGTATTTTGTCATTTGGTTGTCAAAACAACAATTGTACTTCCATGCCTACATCCATCTGTGTTCATTTTTTAAAACAAAAATTAAGTACTGCTGTTCTGATCTTTTGTTGCCTTTGCCCTCCTGCAGTGTCTCTGTCCAAGTGTGAGACCTGAGTCTGACCAACATTCAAGAGTCTTTTGTTTGGTTTTCTTGTTTCACAAGGTTTTTTATCCTCCTCCTTCTCAATCAAACAAAAGTTAATGAATTTATAGTAAATCAGTGTTGATGTTTCAACATTTTTTTGCCTTCCTACCTTTTGGAGTGTCTTTGTCTAATTATAACAACTGGCGCTGTGACCAGCATTTAAAGGTCATCTACTTATTTCTTTTCTTTTTTCCGCCAAGTTTTTTTTCTTCCCTTTTCCAACCAAATTAATAGATGTTGCCGACGTTTATGGTCCAGTTAGTTGTCCACTTGAAGAGGTTGATAATTTCATTCTACACAATCTTCCAGTTTAAAAAAAATGGAAAAGAATATGTAATGACTTTGTCTAGGGCCATGTGCTAGAAACAATTATGCAAGTTATCTTTGTTCCTATTGTTGACTTTGCAATGTGCGGTCACCTTGTAATGGTAAGAAGTGATTGGTACCGGAAACTCTCTCAATCCATCATCTGAAAACTAGAATCTTGGTCTCAACTGGCACATATTACATTCCCATGTGGTAATTTCTTGGTTATGGATAGCTGGGTGTTGATTGGATGCAAACCTAAGCTTTGGCTTCAGGAAATGGCTATTACATGTCTCCTTTGTGCTAAAACTATGCTTGGATGTACCACCGGTGTTTAGAAATTGTTTGTAGATTCTGTTGCATGCATTTGTTGCTCTTAGATTCTAACGAATTTGTTTAGCTGTGCTATTGTTACACTCTCTTTGATGATTCTATTTGTTTATACTGTTTGCATTCCAAAACAGTGGTTGATGATCATATTTTGTCTTCAAAATTATGGGAAATTTTCATTGCTCTGAGAAAGCCTATTGTTCTCTTTCCTTTTTTAGATAGAGCTGTTCACTGAATAACTTATCATCGAAGACAGTGATCAATTAATGGAATTGTGAAAGTGACTATGGAAGCTTCAGGGAAGTATAGATTCTCCATGTAGGTAAACTTCTAATGATATGAGAGAGAATATAAAGTGTTGACAAGGGGGCAGACTGCAGTGGAACTGTGGAGTATCATATGATAGTTGTGGTGACCGGCTAGTGAGTTTTCATGTAATGATTATGGACTGCAATCATGATCGTAAATTATGTCCGTGTTCGACTCTAGTCTTCATACTTCCTTAGAATCTACATTCTATATATGGTAACAGNCAATCATGATCGTAAATTATGTCCGTGTTCGACTCTAGTCTTCATACTTCCTTAGAATCTACATTCTATATATGGTAACAGGTGGAAAAGGAGTGAGAATTGGCATTGATTGGTGGTTACCCCTATCAGCTTGCCCTATTTTTAGCTACAATTTATGCTTATTTTACCATGGTAGATCTGGAATATGTTTTGGCAACTAAGTTCGTTCTGCATAATGATACAGTGAGATTGGTACTTGCTGTTAGCCGCGAGCAAGTGTTTTAGCCGACTCTACATGACTAGTGTGTTTCTTAACCCGCTGATTAGTGGGCTGACCTAAGACTAACTTCGATAACACGCAAACGCACTTGCACACGCATGCAGTGTATTGGAGAGAGATTTCTGACTTAATATTAATCTCCATGTTACCTAGAGTGAATGATTCAACCCCTTGCTTGGTTAACTCTGTTTGATTGTGTTTTTTTTTTTTTTTTT